GGAGAAGGCGCCATCTATCATCTTCATTGATGAATTGGATGCCATTGGTACCAAGCGGTAAGGGAGTGTGCTAAAGACTTCAAGGGTTCCTGGGGGTGAGGGATGGGGTGGGAGCTCAAATCCCAACTCAACTAAATTACAGCTCTTTCCCATCCTGCTCCTCCCTCCTCCCTGAGTAGTAATGCTTCTGTTTTTCTGCTTCCTAAATTCTCACAGCTGCCACATTTCTCTCAAAAAGAAATGCAGTCATCTCACATGTATTCAAAATCTGTTACACACAGAGATCCTATTTAAAGCCCTTCTAATTGTTTACCCCATTGCTCCTTAGCATAAGCGCTATATTTGTGTGACTGTCCTTCCGGTCTCTGCCCCCACTCTGGACACCCTCCCAGTGTCCAATTGACTTTCGGCTCTTTCCTGTTCATTGTCTTCAGACTCAAGAACCCTTCCTGGGATGGGGTTGGATGCCTAGGCTCCTGATTCTCTGAGCAAAGTTTTGTGGGATCACACATTGCTCAGAGCCACAGCCCTAGCCCTGGCTGTTTCTGCTCACTGTCTGTTGTCAGCTAAGCATCTGATCCCAGAAGCCTCTGCAAGCTTTTTTGAATGCTGCAGTTAACTATTGGTGATACCTTTCTCTGTGCCAGTCCCTGGGCTGGGAGCCTCAAGTTGAGGCAACCATTTCCCTGGACAAGTTGGAATAGCCTGTGCTTATGCCGTGATGTCTCTGGCATCTCGGGCTCCTGTACACCGCAGCTTCGACAGTGAAAAGGCAGGGGACCGGGAGGTGCAAAGGACCATGCTGGAGCTTCTGAACCAGCTGGATGGCTTTCAGCCCAACACCCAAGTAAAGGTGAATAAAAAAAATGCAGCTCAGCTGTCGGGCTGACCCGGGGCTCCGGTACTGTCACCCTGAACTGCCTCCTGTTACAACCATGACTCGTGCCTGTGGGTGGATTCACTATTTTTCAGTTCAAGCTGCTGCTTCTCTTATTCCTTAGGTAATTGCAGCCACTAACAGAGTGGACATCCTGGACCCTGCCCTGCTCCGCTCAGGACGCCTGGACCGCAAGATTGAGTTCCCGATGCCCAACGAGGAGGCCCGGGCCAGAATCATGCAGATCCACTCACGGAAGATGAATGTCAGGTCAGCTGCAAGACATTTTTGGACCCTCGGTTCTCATCCCCCCTGTACTGTGTTGCCCAGCCACTGACCGCCCCTCCCCTTCCTATGCATGCACATAGCCTCCATTTCTCCTCTACTGTCTAAGAGTTTTTGCTGGGACTCAGACCCTACTTCTAGGTGGTGTGGTCCTCAAAGTCACCTGCACCTCATCCTCCCATCTGAAAACACATAGATTCCACAGCCCAGTAGGTAGGCATAGCCCAGCATGACTTAGGAGAATCTTACCAGGACCAATGATTTGAGCTTAGACCTGTACAACTTTCAGCAGGTGACCTGACCTTCTAAGCATGTTCTATTATTTGAAACTTGGGGATAATTACTCCACTTTGAGAATTGGCCATGATGATGTTTTGGTGGTTGTTGTTGTTTTTCCCCTGAGACAAGGTTTCTGCGTATCTCTGATTATCTTGGAACTTACTCTGTAGACCAGGCTGGCCTTGAACTCACAGAGATCCGCCTACCTCTGTCTCCCGAGTGTGCGCCACCGCCACTACCAAGTGCCATGATGGTGTCTTAAGTACAGTGCTTGGCATAAGAGGACAGATGTGGTGGCTGCACTTTGCTGACTAATGCACGATCTGTGGCATTATCTTTCGTCTACAGAACCCCTTGTTTCCTTGCCTCAGGCAGATTTGGTTACTGGAGTCTCAGATGGCAGGGTTCTAGGAGATGGGAGTATCAGAGATCTTATAAGTGGCTTTGTCTAATCTCATTAATCTTCAACCCTTATTTTATAATGAAAGAAAGCAACTTGCCAGCAGAAAGCAAGTTGACTATTGTTTGGTGGGTGCATAGTAAGACGTCTTCCCGTTCACGTTCCCTCTCCGTGAGTAATCAAGCTCTGTGGTGTCTGTCCTTTCTCCAGTCCTGACGTGAACTATGAGGAGCTAGCCCGTTGCACTGATGACTTCAATGGGGCCCAGTGCAAAGCCGTGTGTGTGGAAGCGGTGAGTTGCTAGGGGATTGGTGGGTTGTTTCAGCCTTGCCTTTTCCCTGGATAGATCAGGGTCCCAGGCCTTTGGAAGTTGGGCTCAGGATTCAGGGGGCCACACTAGACCATATCTGTAATGACTGCAGGGTATGATCGCACTGCGCAGAGGTGCTACGGAGCTTACCCACGAGGACTACATGGAGGGCATCTTAGAGGTGCAGGCCAAGAAGAAAGCCAACCTGCAGTACTATGCCTAGGAGCACCTCTAGTTAGCCCACTGAGGCATGGGCAGAAGTTGATAATAAAAGGTGTTTTCCGTTCCTTGCCACCTGTTTGTCTCATCCTCGTGGACTCTGGGTGGGAGTGGCATGTATGGAGAAGAAGGTCTTTTCCTCAGGAGCTACAGCATCAAAAATCTCACTGTGGCAGGGAGGTACAGGGCACAGCTGTTTCCTAGAGTCTTTTCTATCTCCTCCCCAAAGTCTCCTTAAGTCTTCTCTCTCCTGTTCCCTGCCACAGCTCTGACTATTTTAGAGGCTTGCAGCCTTGAAGTACCCAAAGGAAGAGCCTGAAGAGAAGCCAGAGTTGCCCACCTAGCATTGCAGTGCTCTGGTCTAATTCTTGCTGTCATATACAGTCAAGATGTAGGGGTTTGGTTCTCGAAATAAACCGCACTACCCTGGCTTGTGGGCATCCTGTTTCTCCCGGGGCCCTTCAGGCCTAACCTGTCGTGCTGCTCTCTCCCGGCCTTACTCTGCTGCTGCCTTGCTGTGTGGGCGTCCACAGCCTTTGGGCTTGGCGGTGCTGCCAGAGGTTATAGGCATGTCCCACCATTCCCATTTTTTTTCTACGATTGATTATATATTACGTATACAGTGTTTTGTCTGCATGTTTACCTGCATGACAGAAGAGGGCACCAGATCTCATTACAGAGCCACCATGTGGTTGCTGGGAATTGAACTCAGGTTCTGTGGAAGAGCATCAGTGCTCTTAACCTCTGAGCCGTCTCTTCAGCTCCCACCATTCCAGTTTTTTGTGGTGCTGGGATAGAACCCAGGGTTAGGCAAGCACTCTACTACCTGAGACACATCCCTGCCCCAAATAGGTCTTAATGCATATTTTTTTTTATCAGGATAGCCGCTGTATTATTTTTACTTTGTGTATGTGCATGTAGTTAAGATACATGTCCATCAGAGGACAGCTTTGTGGAGTCAGTTCTCTCCTTCCACCTTTACCTGGGTTCTAGGGATCGAACTTAGATCAACAAGTTTGTGCAGTAAGTACCTTTACCCACTGATCCATCTCACTAACCTGGGTGTACCCATTTTACAGACACAAGCAACTGGGCTGAAATTATAGCATAATGAAATGAGGTGGCATCAATTTTTTTTTAATTTTATTTATTTATTTATTTTGAGACAGATTCTTGCTATGAAGTCTTGGCTAGCCTGGAACTTTATGTAGATTAGATTGGCGTTGAACTCGTCGCTTGTGGCCTCTGAGATTAGTCTAGAATGTTAGGATTAAAGGCATATGCCACCTTGTTTGCCCCATCATTCATCTTTTCAGTGAGTTATTTTGACAGCCCAGAATGGCCTTTCAAAGCTGTTAATCCTCAAAATTCCACCTTATTGCCAAAAAGGGGCAAAAATTCCTTGGCACTTTTCTTTCTTCCCCTTGCTCTCCTTGCCAGCTCTCCTCAGTAACCTACCACATGTGCTGGCTCTCTGAGCTTTGCATGCTGCCTGTTGATTGTAGTATGATTATGTCTTGCTCTAGGAGCTGAGCAGCTAAAGGGCTTCTGATTTTGTCCTCTGGCCTGGGCTTAGGTGTCCCCTCCTCCTTTCTAACCAGAGAGAATGTGTTCTTGGTCATGAGCAAGTAAATGTGCAGGCACCATCACCTGGCTTCCTCAGTACAGCAGAACCCCTTCTAACCCCTTGGGCTGAGTACAGTGTGAACAGTGATACTTGTGCTTGTCAGCCTCCCAGCTGGGCTTCACACCACAGCTCTGCCCTGAGCACTTGCTGAAAGACAACGGGCTTGAACCTTTCTGTCCTGAGGTCCCTGGAAGTCAGCCAGGTAGACCAGTTGCCTGACAGATGTGATGCTGGAACAGCTGAGCATTCCCAGCTAAGGAGGTAGCTGCTTAGGTGTCCCACCTGCTTGCACTAGACTCAGCACAGATGACTTACTTATCCCACCCAGAGGGCTGCTGAAGGCTGCTTAGTGGCTTAGGGAGGAAAGTGGGTTGGATTCTTCCCGCAGCTGCTGATGGAGAAGCAGTACCCCTTGCTGTGCTATGGTACCGGCGCAGTCAGGAAGGAAGCCTGGTAAAGACCCTTTTTCCTCCTGCCTGTATTTGGGAGGTGGGTGGTATGTCTCAAGTGAGAGGGTCTTATGTAGCCCAAGCTGGCCTGGAATTCATTGTTCTACCTGATGTATTGCCATATACGATGCTCTTCCTATGCCTTCCTTTTTTCCCCCTTGTTTTCCAAAATGGTGGCTTCATGTAGCCTAGGCTGGCCTTTTAACTGCAGATCCTTCTGCCACCATTTCTGGATGCTGAGATTATAGTGTGATGTCACACGACTCTCTTAAACGAACTATAATCCTACTGAAGTCAAAGCTGGAGATGACTTCATGGTCCTAAATCCCTTCATAAGAATTACTAAGGGGGATCAGGGGAGTAAATATTCTTAGCTTTATAGGTCCATAAGATCAGGTGATGGTGAAGAAGGCTCAAACATTCCTGGGCTAAAAGGTTAACAGTGGAACTAGGTGGGGAAATAGGGAACCTGCAGAGATGCACAGCAGGTGTAACGAATCTGGCCAGAGCACTGAGCAGAGCCCTGCTTGACCGCCCTAGTATGTGGAACAGGCAGTGGTCTAGGTAATATTTATTTACATCTATAGAACAGGTATTTACAGATAAAGATGAACCACAACGTAACTGCTACAGAATCATTCAGACTTCAGTGGCCACTTCTCTAACACCACAACAGCAGGTTGTCTGGCTGTTGAGTGGGCCAGCTGAGTACCTGGATGTCAGCCAAGGGAAATAGTTGGGGATTATGGCTTCAGCATTCTCCCAGTTCACATTCCTGAGCACTGACAATGTGGAGCCCTCACCACCCCCACCTTACTCAATCCAAAGGACAAGGGGCCTGAGCAGGGAAGGGCAGCAAGGCTCATTCTCCCTGCCCGGGGCATGTCTGCTGAACCATGTGCTGGCAGGAGCATTTGGAGCTGCACTGGGAGACTGGTAGCCTGAGGATTACTCGGTGCCTTGCAGACTGCTGTTTGACAGTTGGGGGTGCCTGGGAGGCCCGGAAGCATTTGATGGGGAAGCATGAGCTGACCAGGGTGGCAGCCCCTAGGCGGAGGTCCTTGAGAGGCTGCCTGCTCAGTGCTGAGTGGGGCTAGGGCTGCAAAGCACCTACCTCCCCTTTCTTTGGTTGTAGAGGTGGTATAGGAAGGGTTGGGAAAATAGACAGCAAAGAAGAGCTGTGCAGCCTCTGCCTCTAAGGTGCTTGGGGCCTGGATATATGAGCAGAGCTTTAATTAGTCTTGAGTTAGAGGCCCAGGAGGGACAGTTGTGGGGTTCTCTGCAGCCCTGGACTCTTGTGGGAAGTGAGGCCTGTGCCAGCACCAGCGCTGTCGTTCCTTGCTGCTAGATGACGGTTGGCTGGGCAAGTGCCCTCTGGGCTCTGCACACGGGTCACAGTGTCGGTCTCCTGCACACATATGGCTGTATGTGCACACCCCCTTTGTCCAGTGCGAGGCTGGTCCTAGCATTCACCCTCTGCCGCTCACACATGAAGTCACAGAACAAGCTGGTTCTCTATTGCTTGCTATGCAGAGTGGGATGTCAGGAATGGCTACTCAACGAAGATTGAGAGCAGCAGCATCACCACAGCGCCGGAGCAGAGCAGCAGCACCTGCTGCAGGGAGTGCCTGTGGGGGGGGGGGGGAGCACGGACAGGGTGGGCAAAGGCAGTTCCTCCTGAGCC